GAGATTTAGCAACTATTTTCATTAATTTTCTCTTTATTGTTTTCTCCGTTTAATTTATCTCAACACTTTAATAAAATCAAGTATGAAACTATTGACAACACAGAAGATACATTCACAATCAGTACGATTGGGAAATCAACAAGAAAAACGCCACAACTCCATTTATTCTGTGACTATTGAAGAGAAAAATCTACAGTTTTTTTTTTATCGCAACAATTCAAATACGTATGAAGACGTATTCAGAATTAATGCAATTGAGTGAGAAACAAAGCCATAGTTTTCAACAAATTAATACTTATTAAATGAACAACACTGTCCCCTTTAAAAAAAAACTATACATATATTCATGATTGATGAATAACAAAAAAAAAATTGTTTTTAGAATTAACGATATAAAGTCGATATCAAATTGGACCGTTTGCCCCTGTTGCTGGATAATTTGGCAAACACTTATGAGAAGAAAATGAAGTCATACGTAAACGGTAAAATGTGACAATCTCCAACAATTTTAAATTCTGCAAACTTAAACTTGTTTGTATGTCATACTCTTTTTATATAAATATCATTCAATCAGAATAGGAAACCAAAATGAAAACTGTACATCGAATTTAAAACCAATTATAGTGAAAATGTGAAGAAAAAAAAATCGATAAATAAGTTTAAAGAAAAACATTGTTGACAGTTTCAACTTGAAATATTTTATGAGACAGAAAAAAAGTCTCAAATTTTATGTTGATTTATTTATCTTCGATTGAAATAGAATTTATTCACAGTTCCCCAATCAATGGTATCAACAACAACAACAGCAACAACAAGAAGAAAAAAAAATTACCTCAATGTACGTTTTCACATTGATTAATACTATGTTACCGTGGAATACAAGTATGTGGTTGAAAACGCACGCAAATGATTTACCAAATCTATTCTGTTGTATACGAAAGAGGGTGAAAAAGAAAGTAACCGACTAATGAGAAGGCATAAATCTTTGGAAAAACGTACATTACTCTTTCCCCAATTAGAATAAATCGTATTATTTTTCTGATTTTTGGTTTGCCGCCACCAATCTTGAATCTAGATAAATATAAAACCAAAATAAATGAGCAGCATAAAGAGATAATCATTATGGATAAGATATACTTAAGATGGAAACCCTATCGATTTTATTCGACTTCGATTAACAAAATGCAAATATGTGAGCAGATATAGAGGTGCAAATAATGGTGTAAAGTTGGACTTAACTAATGTAATATATACATATGCTTTAGATAAGCTAATTGGGAAATACAAAACAGATTTCATACATAAACGTGTTTCTGTTTACGTATGTTGTACGGTTTGCATGCCGAAGAAAAAATCGATAAATTAAATTCTATTGATTAAGATTTAGCTCATAAGGTATGTGTAAGTAAGATGACCGAAATTATCGGATCCGCAATGGAATGGAATTATTTTAATTTATTGGCAAATCCCAATCAAAGAACACTACACCAATGTATGCGCACGAAATTCCATATTCAATTACATATATATTTGTTAGATAAACCATGTTTGAGGTTGGACATTAACTAACCATAATCTTTTGTTTTGTTGATAGATTTTTTTTTTTTCAAATGATTATGTTGTTGCAATAAGCAACTACAGTTCATGTTGTTCATCGAATGATGGCAATTGAATGATAAAAAAAAGGCCTGAATTAATAGTCGAAAACAAAAACAATTAGCGATAAATATAAATTTAAACGAGGCAATTAAAATTTAATATTGTATAGTAAATTGAATAGAAAAATATTTATTGATTATAAATAATAACAAGAATAGCTATAAGTTCCTACAACTACACTCCATGGATATTCAATATATTCAATAAGGACAAAGTAACGTTTTGGTATGTTACATCGTAATAAATAACACATGTTTAATATGAATGGGTGAATACTTGGATAGAATAGGTGAACGAGGAGTTTATCCATGCTTCTTTTTTGACTGAATTAAAAATCTTTCAAAGTCGATTCGAGAGGCGAAAGGAATAGGTGGATATCTATAGATAATTTTAAATGTATGATATTGCATTTATTTTTTTGTTCCAATAATTGAGGTGGAAGTAGCACAGGTATTGTGCACCATATAGATTAAATAGACACACACACATTATTACCCGTACCATCATGTTGTACAATGTGCTTGTGCATGCACCTATATTCACAAAGGCTGGTTTAAATTTGTCAATGACCTTCCCGATCCTGGTCAAGATAACTACAAACACCAACGAACGTGATTCGTAGATTCCACAGATGCATAAAAAAGTGCATCGTCCCATGTCTCACGAAATAAATTTGAGTTATAGACAAAATCGTAGTAAAACCAATTATTGTGAGAATCCCATAAATATTATTTAATGAAATACAAACACACAAAAAAAAACAATGTATAAACACAAAAATAGCACCAACACATTCAATTCATCACATATATTGGATATATTGGAAAATGAGTGTAAATAAATATTATGTTTAACAAAACGAATGGTGTTTTATTTCCGTTTTCATCTTTCAGAGACGTATCTTATAACGAAGAGTATCATTTCTTACCCATATGCAAATACAGTGCTCTTCCAGAAAACTCAAGTTTTTCTGCAAAAACAAACTACTCAAGATAGTCTGACTTTGCAGGAAGATTGATTTTGATTCAAAACAAGAGTTCAATTACCATTTTGCACAGCATCGTGAAGCGGTGTAGAGTTATCGCTTTTCAAAATGTTTGGATCAACACCCTCATCAATCGACAATTTTACTGAATCGACATTGCCTAAGAAGAATGAAAACTTTAAGTCGAATGACACGCAAACATATTTCCAAGGAGTCTGTTACACTTCTTAATGGCCAAATGCATTGGAGTTTGTCCGTTATCTAGTTGAATACTCATATTCATTCCTTTGCCGATTAAAGACTCGATCAAAAATTCATTTTGGACACATCACCCAAATTATGATCATATCGAAGCTAAAAACGAAATATCATACTTTCGGGGTCTGTTTCCACTTTGTCTGACAAAAATACAGTCGAAAATTTCAAACCCGTTTCGTATTTTTTTCAACATGTTTTCTACGTCAAACTGGAAGAACACTTATTGCATAAACAAAACCTGTTCGATAGCGTCTAAAAGATAGGGAGGTACCTCAAAAATACACTTTTTGGATGAGTTTCTTCGTACGAAGTTATTTTTTTCGAGAAATATTGGGAATCTTTTCATACAGAAGCTCTTATGAATGATTTTTGGGGTACCTCTCGAACAAAAAATGATATTTTTATAGCAAAATGCATGAAAAACGTAATTTTTGTTCGAGAGGTACCTCAAAAAGTCAATTTTGAGGGTTTTCGTCTGGGTAGACTTCACATATTTTCGAGGAAAAATAACTTTGCGCCAAGACACCATCCCTGAAAAGCCTATATTTAAGGATTTTTTGACAAAAAGTCGATTTTTCAGAGTTGAAATCGAACCAACCGAATATGCGGCCAGAAATATGTGAAAACATCACTCGGTTTGGTCATGTAAGTACCCAAAATGTTCGTAAAGGATCATGTTAGATGTTCAAAGGCAGAAAAGGTAGAAATCGTTTGCTTTTATGTGTCAAACAAAAGCTCATGTTTGTGATTTGTTCATTTTGGCCTGAGATTTGCCTTATATGTCTGAATCCATTGTCGCCAAACTACATCCAAATCTGACAAGTAACAAAATGTTTCTACAGGTTTTGGCTACACAAGTCAAAAACTGAACAAAGGTCCACCGCCTGGGTGACCTGTAGAACGAAAAATGCATAAAATGTCGAAAAATTGCCATTTTTTCGGTCATTTTACGCTGTAACTGGCCCAGAATGCCTTTTCAATGGCGGCCCAGTCTTCTTTTTTTGAGGCGAACTAACGAATTCAGCCCGGCAATCGCAACAAAATCGACATAAAAATGTTTGGACCACGCTAGTGGATATACATTACTGTCAATCATTCATTGAATTGAGATTTGATGCTACTTTTTTCTTTGAAGACGAATGATTTCTTAGCTGAAATACAGTATCCACATATATTTTTTAGTTCGTTAATATTCTGGTGAATTAGTTATTTTCGATAAAGAACTTGTTTCATTTTCATCGTCGCTGTTTGACTGTCACTCAAACGTCGTAAACAACTCACATATACAATGACCATTTGTCAAGTCATTTCGCCATGCGTCGAAACTTTCACCACTTCTCTATATGGTGGAGTGTGCAGACGGCAAACAAATTTTCTTATTGCGTATATTTGAATTTTTTTCACATCTGATCACATAATTATGGAAACACATGTGTTGGATTCCGTTATATTCTGTATTTGCGTAATTTTTAAAATCGGAATTCATCACATTTTTTTCCTTGAAATTAACTTGAATTATTTGCCACAAATATAAAATGCAAAAAGTAAATATACCCCACTTTTCACCACACACTCATCCTTGTGATATTGTAAATGACGCATGACGCATGACGAAATGACTTCTACAATTAAGTTGTTAATGTGTTGGTGTGTTGTTACATATAACGAATAGTGTCAAATCACAACAACATTGAAATAAAAACCGACAGTCTAATCCTGAAACCCGTTCTTTGCATACATTGACATTTTAAATGAGTAGTTCTTTATGAATGTATTATCTATCTAAGGTTAATGAAAGCAGGAAAAATTTAATAATTTGATTGCCTTCACATTTATAAATGAATTGGATAACATTAATGTCTTTTTTATTTAGAATTGATGTGAATTAATCCCAGAGATGGAGTATATGTATATCAATTCGTTGTATTTACTGTACTCCGTACAGAACGGTACATATACATTGATATACCTTTGCGTTCGCTGTCACAAAAGTAGTAGCTAGCGCATGCGCTCAACGCGTTAAACGCAAAGGTATACGTTTTAGTATATACTGATACACATTTCCATACACTTGTGGTAAACGATGAACCATCTCTCATTTATCCAATAGATTTATTTGCGTCATTTCGTAGCCTATCTATTGAATCTATTGATCATTCAAACATAAATTTTGATTATAAACTATTCTGCAAGAAGACATATACCGACTTTGTGTGTATTGAATTCTCAAAAATAGATAAATCGTCAACGAAAAGATTCGGCAAACTCAGTTCGATTTTGGATTTGGATTTGGCAGCACAGAAACGATGATGCAGAGTATCATAGTAATCATTGCTATCGTTGCTTCAACACTTTTTGTTGGGGCGTCTAGTGCATTTCTTTCCGATGGTGTCGCAGAATTCAATTTTACGAAACTCTACGATGGAAGTGATGAATATGATGTTGAGTGAGTCAAACATTCTAGACGAGTAAAACCGTGATTAATGCTTACCATTTTATTTTTGTTAGATACAAGGTGGAAAAAAGTGGCAAAACATTTCATGGGAAAACTTCCAAGTTGTATGATAAACTGTATGCAATATTTGGCGCTGACAATGTTTTGTATTGGGTTGAATTTACAGAGGATGAGTACAACGATAAACGATATCTTACTAAAACAGTTCGATTAAGTGAGTTCATCACGTTTTCATAGAAATATTCAACGTTTTCAAAAATGCGTTGACTTTATTTCATTCTAGTTAAACGAAGCGAAAACAAATTGGAGTTCAAAGACAATTCTCTTGAATACGAAATTATTCTTGAGAGTGGATTCTTGTTTACTCAGCTTTATTCGACATCGTAAGTCGTTGCGATATTTTGTTGGCTTAATTTATGAACGAATTAATAATGACAAAATTATTATTTTTCAGGTGGAATCTGGAGAATATATGTTTTTCAAAATCTAACAACAAAAATCAAACGTTCGATTACGTGTGAGTATTTTGTGGAATTTGTTAAATGAATGAAAACAAACGGATTCTATTTCTTGTGATGTAGTATTTCAGCCAGAAATAATTCAAGAAAATATAATGGCACAACGTACATCGAATCGAATGATCCACATGTACAGCGAATTGCGGCTTCCGATGGTGGGTTCAAAGGCTTGTATGAAGTGAACTTTACAGATGATGAGCTCAGTTCCACGGACACATTTTGTAAAGGCATTTCAAAACTAATATCACGTAAGTGCATTGTTACGTTTTTTTTTCTTGAGCTATAACTTATGAATATATTCATGACTGTTATGATCGTTTCCCAGATATACAATGGCTGTCTCCAATTCAACCGATCATGATCGATACAAACCTCCTGAAGTCTTTGGCTGGTTGAAAATGGATGCAAACAACTTTTTCCAACTCCAGATGAAACAATGTTTTGCATGAAAAAAAAGAAAAATAAGCAAAAAAAATTATAGACACAATTATTCATGTAATTTGTCATAATTATTATTCGAGAACTCCAGAACAGAAGAAATAAATGATTGAAAATGAAGGAAACATTGTAATTTTACCTATGCGGAGATGTATATCGAAAACTGATGTCACAGGCCAAAAAAGATGTTTTAAATAAATATATATATATTATTATATATATACATAATTGTGTCACCAAATTTTCAGAATAAAGATAAAATTTCCAAAACCAGATACAACAGGCTTTTCTTTAGTTATTTCCAATTTTCAGACAGATTTTATTAAGAGCCACTGTGCCTCTAGTGCTCAGATCACAAATCGCTTGTTAGTAGCAACAAGTGGTTGCTCTTCATTCGTTAACATTTCGTCTGGAGGATCACTGCTGCCGAGATCAGCAAGCTCTAAGGTCATTTTGAGGTTGATATAATATTCAAGTCGTAAGGAACAAAACCGTTTCGTCAGGATACCGATTGAGGCATTCGTGAGAAATCTCTAAAATTCAAGATGTCATTGTTTTCAATTCTATCAGTCAATTTGATGATGTAATTTATCGTTGGAAAGTGGAAAACTTAGAGCGAATACAACATGTCTACTTTCTCTGGATATGCTCTGGTTCAGTCAATATTCACTGTCAAGGGCACCTCCGACCGGTATTATAACCAGATAACATTCGCTAAGAAGGAATGGGTAATTCCAGTTCAAGAAAGAGAATGGAGAATAAAGTTAAAAAGGCCACACGTCAATCATCGGACTAATCTGAGACCGAAATGCGAACCAGTTTTGTCAAATTTAAAGTGATAAAAAAAATAGGAAAAAAAATGATAAAATGAAACGAGTAAGCGCCATCAACACCAGATTTCATAATGAATATAGATTTGCATACCACTGAAGCACACAGAAAAAACTAGCACAAAAGCAAGTAGTCTTCTGTGTGAGCGATAACACCGATAGAATTTTAGCCTGAACCATTTGAAATAAAAGCAAAAGCAGAGCTGTGTGAATTCTTGATTTCAGTTTCAAAACGAATGTGGTTCAGTGAACATGTGGACTTAATTTTTCTAAATTGTCGGAATATTGTTGAGTACAGATATATCAGATATCAGATATCAGAAGTTTTCCTATTACAAATAGTAGCTTGACTCTGGAATAGTGACCCGTTTTAATTTGCCAATAAAGGAATTGTGTTTAAAGAAACGAAGATGAGCAAATTAATTGTGATCATATTACTTGTTACTGTTTCCTTTGCATTATCAATGTCAGTAGATATGAACATGCTCCGAACACAGGGTAATTCAACACATTCAAATTTATCATCTTAATCAATTTTGATTTATTTTGTGAACTTTTGTTTTCACACCACACCTGTCCAGAATCAGCAAACGTTACGAAAGATGAACTGTGAGTTAAACTATTAATTAGAGAATTAATATTCGGAACAGTTTTATTAGTTTTTGCGTTTTTTCAGAACCCAACCACCAGAATCTAAAAAAAATGAGCTTCTAGACGCTGTCGAACAGGGTTTGTTATTATGCAATAAGTATAGTTCCAGTTCGATGGAGAAAATGTATTGAAAAATTACGAAACAAGTGTTTTTCTCGCCTATAATTCAATCATTATATAGTTTCGAAGCAAACGGTTTAACTTTTTTATATTGTCACTGTTGCTAGTGGCAACTTGTCGTAAATTAGTTTTTCAAAAATATTTGTATCGGAGTTTTTGATTTGGTCTCTTATGCAATTCAGGTAATTTGGAAATTGTTAAAACTCTCATCGACCACGGTGTCGACGTGAATACTAAAACCAAGGATGGAGAGACAGCACTTTATTTGGCTGCAAGTTGGGGTGATTGTTGAAACTTTTACTCCCAAACACAAGAAATCTTTTAACTTTGTTCCTTTTGAAATTTAGGATATGTGGAAATCCTTGAATTTCTCGTCAAACACGGTGCCGACGTCAATGCTAAAACCAAGAATGGAGTGACAGCACTGCACAGAGCTGTATGGCGGGATGATTGTCTAAGCTCTTATTTCTAAACAGAAACAATCTTTTTATTCTGTTCTTTTTACAATCCAGATCATGCAGAAAGTGAAAAATTTCTGATCGAACATGGCGCTGACGTTAACGCTAAAACCAAGGATGGAGAGGCAGCACTTCATTGGGCTGCAAAACATGGTATTTATTTTGTTATCTAATACACACCATCTTAAAATATTCGCCTGTCTTTAATAACTTCTTTCATTATTATTTATATAATGCAATTTTCTTTCTTGAAAATGTCTAATTCCGAATAAAAAAGTCTGATTTGTCAAGTAGACATTTGTCGGTAGCTTCATTAGTACTGTGATTCGCGTAATTTGTTCTTTAAAATTAATGAAAATTAAATTGAGTTCATATTTTTTCGCGCTAAAAAACCCATACGACACGTTTATATTTGTATTAATGCTTAAGCAATGAAAACTTATAAAATATAGAAAAGAAGTGGAAAAAATGTCTGGTGACATTAACATCGCTGATATTTGACATGTTTTGTTGTTGTCATATGATTTCGCAATATGTCATAATATGAAATATTCCCTTTACAATTCAGGTGATGCAGAATTCGTTAAATTTTTTATCAAACATGGCGCCGACGTCAATGCTCAAACCAAGGATGGCGTGACTGCACTTTACTTGGCTACACAGAAGCGTAATCGTCCAAACTCTCACTTCAAATGCACAAACCATCTTTTTATTCGGTTCCTTTTGTAATTCAGATCATACGGAAATTGTTGAATTCCTCATAGAACACGGTGCCGACGTCAATGCTAAAACCAAGGATGGCGTGACTGCACTTTATTTGGCTACACAGAATCGTAATCGTCTAAACTCTTACTTCAAATGAACTGTTGTGATGAAAACATTCCCTCAGCATATTTGAGAAATGAAGCGAATCGTGGATTTTGTCTAAGAACAAAGAGCAACAACGCAAGTGTTTGAACCAAGGCGACACAGAGCAAATGTGAGAAACAAAGTGCAACATATCGAATCATGTTGCAGTTTAAAGCCAAAACTTGCTTTTTTGTGCTTTGTTTTTCAAGTTAGCATTGTTTTTCAATGGAGGCAAAACAAGAGACTCTATTGTTCGTCGGACATCCATGTTTCGTTTCATTCCTCAAGTATTCTGAGGGAATATTTTTGTCGCAACGGTTCAAATACACGGACAATTTTTTGAATTTGTTCCTTTTGTAATTCAGGAAATGCGGAATTCGTTAAATTATTCATCGAACAAGACGCCGACATCAATGCTCAAACCGAGGATGGAGAGATAGCCCTTTATTTAGCTGCAAAGAAGGGTGATTGTCTAAACTCTTACTTTAGATCGCGAAGAATCTCTTGACTTTATTCCTTTTTCAATTCAGGAGATGATAAAATTGAAAAATTTCTCATCGAACGCGGTGCCGACGTCAAAGTTAAGGCCAAGGGTGGAGAGACAACACTTCATTGGGCTGCAAAGTGGGGTGACTGTCTAAAATCTTGCTTCAAATACACAAACAATCTTTTGATTTTGTCCTTTTTACAATCCAGGTCATACAGGAACTGCTAAATTTCTCATCGAATGCGGCGCCGACGTCAATGCTATGGCCAAGGATGGAAAGACACCACTTTATTGGGCTGCATAGAGCCATAATCGCTTAAACTCTTACTTCAGATCGCGAACAATCTTTTCACTTTGTTCCTTTTTCAGGAGAAGCGGAACTTGTTAAATTTCTCATCAAACACGGCGCCGACGTTAATGCTCAAACCGAGGATGGATATACAGCACTTCATAGGGCTGCATTGTGGGGTGATTTTTTTTAAACTACTATTTCAGTTTTCGAATTCGGTGTAGCTTTCAGTGAAGCCTTCCATCATTTTCTCCTTAATATGATATCGCAAATTTCCATGTGCACATTCCATCGAATGTGGAGACTGGTGGAGACTACCGCAGTCACTTTTATTGTTCTTTTGACTTTGCTTCTTCTGCATTTCAGGTCATTTGGAACATGTGAAAATTCTTGTCGAACACGGCGCCAATGTCAATACTCAAACCAAGGATGGAGAGACAGTATTTCTTGAGGCTGCACGAAGGGGTGACTGTGCAAAGTCTTACTTCTAATCGCAAACAATTTTTTGATCTTGTTTCTTTTTCAATGCAGGATATACGGAAATTGTGAAAATTCTCATCGAACACGGCGTCGACGTTAATGCTAAATTCAAGGATGGACTGACAGCACTTTATTGGGCCGCCCTGGAGGGTAGTTGCTTAAACTCTTACTCCATATGACAAACCATGTTCTGACTTTGATTTTGATTCTATTTCCATTCAGGACGTGCGGAAACTGCTAAATTTCTCATCGAATACGGCGCCGACATCAATGTCAAAAACAAGGATGAAGAGACACTACTTTATTGGGCTGCACGGTGGGGTAATTGTCGAAACTTTTACTTCCAATCACGAAAAATCTTTTGATTTTGTTCCTTTTGCAATTCAGGACAAAATGTCGAATGCCTCATCAAACGCGGCGCCGACGTCAATGCCAAAAACAAGGATGGAGAGACACCACTCTTTATGGCTGCAAAATATGGTAATCGTGAAAACCCTTACTTTTAAACATAAACGATCTTTTGACTTTTCATTTTGCAATTCAGGTCATGTGGAAGCCATTAAATTTCTCATCAAACACAGCGCCGACGTCAATGCTGAAACCAAGGATGGAAAGACAGCACTTCATGAGACTGCATGGCAGGGTGATTGTTAACTCTTACTTTCAAACAAAAACAATCTTTTAACTTTGTTCCTTTTGCAATTCAGATCGTGCGGAAGTTTCTCAAATACTTATTAATAATGGAGCCAATATCTACGCTAAGGACGTTCGCGGAAAGACTCCACTGCAAGTTGCAAAAGAAACACGTAATTTTCCGAATCATTAGCTTAAATTGCCAACAATCTTCTAATTGTGTTCCTTTTGTAATAAAGATCATAAGGATGTTGTTAAAGATGCCGCTATTAAAATTGGGAATAAAGCTATGAATCACTAGACGTCCCATTCCTGCTTCGAGTGTTTCCCAATTTGAGTTAAAATTTTCTCAATTACGAGCACATTTCCCCGATTTTTTTGTCTTAATTTCTCCCAACTGTCATTAATAAATAAATATTGCATCAAATTTGCAACGAAAAACTCCTGAAATCAAACTAATACGCACAAACGCGCTGAAAATGTAATCAATATCTTTTTTTAATAAAAACATTTATCGTGAAAACGCTTCTTAGAATTTTAATTACGAAATGTAATTTCTAATGATATTGAATTCACAATCGAATGCTCGATCAAATGTATTCCAATTGCACTGTGATTGTTTTCTTCAAAATCAGACCTGTAAAAATCAGCTGTCGATCATTCTTGCAGATTGTTTGTCAGCAAAAAAGATTTTATTTCTTCATATTTTGAGTCATGTGAACTAAGTACAGCGGGTATCGAACAAACGGTAAGACTAAATATTGACTAATAACTCGAATACCTTTTGTCTAGAAAGCCAAACCTCCACACAAATGAGAATAAATATGTACAGAATATTTACTTGTGGCGGTGGCGACTGAGAACTGTTTTCATTTCAATCCTAATGCCAGTGGCTGAATCTGTGAAAATTTACATTTCCTTTGATCGCCAAAGCGAGATTCTTGATATCTTGATTTGTTGAAGATTTAGAGCGCACAAATAAACACCCTGTTAATGACTACTTTCTCATTGTTTTGTTCTAAGGAAGTCATCGCTTTTCGCGTTTTTTCAATAATTACTCGGATGTATGGCAGTTAATTATTGATTTTAGTGGATAAATCGGTGGAAAATTACATTTTCTAAAAAAAATACAGTTGGGATTCTCGATATCTTGATCCAATATAGAGTTATACCGCAAAAACCAGCTCCCTTGTAAATTTCTTCACTTGTTCCATGGTAGGTGATATTTTTGATAAAAATTCAATTTATAATATTTGTCTTAGTTTTCCCTTTAGGACTGAAAATTAATTCATTTTGATATCCATATTATTTATTTTAAATAAAGCAATTTTAAGATGACTGAGAAAGAAATGTCTGTTTTTCGTTACTAAATTTTACTTGCAAATATGTATTTTTATTAGTACTGTGGTTTTAATCTGCAGTGTTATTAAAAGGGACGCATTTTAATGATACATTACTGCAAACTTATTCCGACAGACACATTCCATGTAGTGTGCGAAAAGATAATTTGTCGTGGAACAACAAATTATGCTGAATTTACAAAACAAATAGATATCAAGAGCGTAGCGACCAAAATATCACCAAAAAAAAAACTAAAAAATGCGAAACGGCAAATCAATGACTGACTTTCAGTTTAGTATTAAGGGCAGACAGGAAAAGACACAAATAATGAATGACTAATACCACTCTAGGCAGAAAGATGAGATCGATTTCAAGCAAACAAATTAAATGAATATTTTAAAAGTATTTACAAAAGATAGTTTTATAATTGTTTTTTTTTACTTTTGTTTGATTATCATCAATTAATTGATTATAATATAATATTTTCTATTCATTCCTCTCGTGCCTTGAACCGACAATGGCCTACATTCAACAATAAGAACGTAACTACTATACAATAGAAAATATACAGATATTTTCATACTAAACTTGAAGAAAAAAAAACGCAATTTAAAAATGTAACCAGCCAAATCAAAATTAATCATTCATTTACTAAATCTAACATTTATGGAAAAAAATTATTGCCTTTTTCTTTCTTTTATCTACGGAGAAATTATTTTTTTTCTTTACTGGAATTAAAATGTAAATTCAAAGGAATATCAAAGTCGCATAGCAAATCAAAAAAGGTGATAAATTGTAAGAGGGATTCGTCCTGTTTTTTACACTATATACTCAATGAAAAATAAAATCAATTAATTTATCCATTTTTAATTTGGTTGGAAAGTTGTTGGAATTCGTTGAATTTTTTCTCCGTTTTAAACGATTATCAAATCTGCATCAAATGGTTCAGATATTAGCTGTTGATCTTAAGGGCGGTTCTCACTTTCATCGATTTGATTTGAAAATCAGTTGTTTACTGTTTGTAACATTTGATTGGTTTTGGCCCATAATATCTTTCCATCAAATATATATTTGATGCCTACCAAATTCACCAATATAAATTATGATTTGGCTAAGATAGAATCAGTATAAAAAGAGTAACCTTTGCAATGTATACCTATACATTGAGCTCCAATGAGATCGCAAACTCACAGTCCAAATGTCACACTTACGTAGATATGACCGGCTCGAAGAAGTAGCATTTTAGCAAATGAGTGTGTTTGTCTGTGGCTGCATTTGTGTGAACGTAATATTTAATCTGTATGAAATACATTGTACAGGGTGGCGCACTCGAAGTGTAACTAAAACAGAAGACTATAACTTTTTTGTTTTTTGATATTTTTTATTGCTCTAAAGGCACGAAATGTTGCAAAATGATACAAAATTTAAAATCAATTGAAATGAAATACACGAAAAAATATTCGAGTAACGAAACAATGTGATACAGATCCATTCATATGAAACAATGCGAGAGGATTCGTTCATAACGACACTGCAGACAAAAAATCTATCAAAACGGAACACCGCAAAGCGAAATACTTAAAACGGCACATACTATGTTTCATTCTTACGGATTTCTTTTCTATGTTCCATTTTAATGGATTGATTTATTTTTGTTTCGTATCTGTGTATTGAGCGACGAAAGTCTCATGTTCATTCCAAGCTCATCAAATATAACATCCATCCAACATTATATATAATAATACATGAACACAGACACTTTTGTGGTCAATGCTTATTGTTCTATAACACCACACAGGAAATCCTTTGTTAAGTTTTTTTTTTTAAATTGCATTTTTCAACAAAAAAAATCCTTCATCCCAACCGCTTATTTAGCAAGCCAAATTATGGATTGAAATACAAAAATTAGTCTAAAAAATCCTCTTGGGTTCAACCGGCACTTCAAAATTATCTCAATTTGAATGAAACACCATTTGAATTGCGCGAAATGCAAATTTTTTTTATTCGAAAGCAAATATGTACAAATGTTTTTTTTATAGAATTGTATTTTTGCTCTTTTTAGATGCATTGGATAATTTTTAAAATACGGAATACAATTGAAACTCAGTGAAAAATATCACAACAACAAAAAATCGGAACGAAAATTTTACAAATCAAATGTCTGCCAAAACAAATACAATGCGAATTTGCGCATTGATATATGAATATTTGGAGTGTTGCTTGTTTAGAGCTATTCGAAAATAAAAACTATCATAGAATCTACAATCTATGGACTTAAAAGAAACTACTTTAGTTAATTTAATAAACATAAAAATTAACGCAAGAGAATAAATTATTTTGATTATCGTCATTCACAAAAATTGCACAAACGACTGTAAATAAATAGATTCAAATTCAAACGAAAAAAAAACAGAAGAACATATAAGACCAAATGTCTCTGGACATTTTGGCATGGTAAACATATCCTACGTGTAACGAAAAGAACATACGCCATATTTTGACCTAATCAAAACAAATTTTAACTTAAATTTCGAAACAGAATTTCATTATTGTGTTTTTTCTTCGGCTAAATAGGTTTATCAAACGTGATCACACTCAGCCATATGAATAATGGAAATCGGGAATGTGTAGAGCCGTGTATCTTGACACTCTGGCCGTTTGCTTAGCTTGGTTTCGCTTTATACCCTTTGAATTTCAAATAGTTTAACCTCCGTGTCATACCAAATCGCCGGATCGATGTTTCTGAAAAAAAAAAAAAAATGCGAAAGAAATAGAAATTGGCGATTTGAATCGAACGTAAAAAGTCTCTTGAATAAAATAAAGTCGAACAAAAATACAAACTTTCATCAAATTGAAGAAAATTTCAAAAAATTGATTAAAATTTACCTCAAGTAAATCACACCCCACATATAAGTTCGGAACCAAGCTGTTGTTCCGCTATTTGCTTGGTATTTTCGAATGAGAATCGGATGCGGAACGGGTAATAAGCCAACCAATGTGCCGTGCTGAAGAAATTTCAAAATTTCTGACTCATCAGTCAAACCTCTGCTCAAAAATAGAAAATAAAATTAGAAAATGCCAGCAAATTGAATATCACCACTTGACACGTACTTATCAATACAAATTTTCTCCACTTGAGGTACTAACACCTGAAGTAATCTCATAATCGTTTGCAATGGTAGCTTTGCTCGCCATGAAGCCACCCATTCGGGTGTTGGTGTCCAAACGGAAGCTGCATTTACTGGATTCGATGACACACGAATGCTGCCACGCTATTCAATTTGAAATGGGAAAGATATTGGATAGAATAGATCTATACAATTAGCAACATAATATTCGAGTAATCAAACATATTTGCAATGATAAGAAACTCTCTTAGTTCTTAAAACATACCAAAGAGGGCGCCAACAGCTGTACATAGAAATGTCCATAAGAAAGCGCCCTCTTTGTCAAATATCTTGTTGTTGGTCAAGAAAAAGTATGTTTAGTTTCCTGTGGTTGCATATTTGGTTCATTAATTCACTCGAGTTTAATTTTCTTCTTCAAAATAGTTTTTTTTTCCTTGGTTCAATCGAATCTGTTTTCTTCAAGTTGAAGAAGACTTCAACATTTCTTTCAAATCTTCGTATTGAATCTCACCTGATTAACAGTTCGTTTCAATGGAGCTGGCATTGGTTCTTCTGGTTGGGTTTCGTCGATGGACAATTTTGTGAGCTCCACATTTTGAATGTCTTGTACGTTTGTACTATCACAATGTTCATTCATGGGACTAAAATCGCAAAGTGGCGCTTGCAACGGATGGGCCGATTCTCGTTCGGTCATCGTGGCAATGGCGGGTGTGTCGAGCAACGATGCTTTGAGTGTACCCGGTTCGGCTGGCAGAGCCGGACGTGAACCTTCCATTGACTCTTCAATGTCACTTTTGTTCTCAATGCTTGAGCCATCCTCTTCATCGGCGACTGCTGGCAACGGTTTCACCGCTGGCGCCACGGTATCTTCACTAAACGATCGTCGTTCCGTTATTGGTGAGGCAGTTTTTGGAGTTTTCACACGATTCATCGTTTGTGCGACGCCCAACTTTCGGTTACTCAAACATTTTGAAATGCCCTGCAAATCGGATGGCAAATTGGCCAACGCATGGAACACATGACGCTTTCGAATGATTGTATACACTAAATTTGCATTGCCTGAAATCGAAGAAAAATGGAACGATGATTACATTTTGATATAATTTTTGGATTCAATGCGTCTCTCACCATCAAACTGATATTGAATAATATTGTTGAATATTTCCAGTAGGAAAAACACTAAATGATGATTCGATGGTGCCGAAAATAGAAACCATGGTGTGCTAAATGCTTCTAACAAATGCAATAGCTTGATAGCCGCCACCATTGACAGAGTTTTTAAGTATGGTGACACTGAAAAGATTAAAATGCATTAGAAAATTTGATATTTTGGCAGTTATTCCAATTCAATTAAAAATCAAAACGATCGAAATTCGTGTAAATCATCTTGTGTTGCTCACCATTGACCAAAATCGTAAGCAAACAATCGAAAAGCGGTTGCAGTCTTTGATGGCCCGTCGCAATTATTTTGTGAAAGACGGTAATTAATAAATCCGCATGTGATCCGGTAAAAACTGGAATATCCATGGGAACAGTAGCTGTGTATGGTTTATTGAGTCGAACACCGAAATTTCGCTCGCCGGATAACAGAAGCAAAATAAAAACGCCAATGTGCATGAGACCAACGCGAGCTGTAATAATAATTTGAAATGCTCATTAAATGAATATGGAAAAATAATGGCAATAATCCGAATTAAGCTTGTGAACATAAGAAAAACCAACAACGTACATTGATCGGCGCGTGAATCGTTTAAATGGTATAAAATGGGTACCAAAACGTCGAGCACGTCGCTGCTTTTCAGCACATAATATAAAAATTTCTTATTGTAGTCGCAAATTTTCCAGAAAAAAACTAGCAATTCTTGATGGCAATGCAGGCGTTTCGTCGAATTAGGTAGATAGCTTTGTACGAGTGGATTGTTGAGTAGGCGGGTGATGCCTTTCAAGCAGAATTGAAAGTCTTCGTCCCGATGAATGCGTGACAGATAATTTATGAATAAGTTGTCACCAACACTGTTGGCCTCTTCGAAACTAGTAGCACCAGAACTGTTTGCCGTGCCATTTGTAGCCATTATCGAAGATTGATGCAACGTCATGTCGTGATCAAGCGTTACAATCAAGATTTGTAGACATGCTTCAACTAATGGTTCCATTGTATCGGTGAAAATGAAGTGATTGTAAGGGACACCTAATCCCACCGGATCATATGAACAGACTGTGTTCAGGAATGATGTGAATAAAGGCAAAGCGTGACGATTCTCTGCACTTGTAAAATACGCAATCCATTTGTTAGGCTCTTCACTTTTATTTGGTGTACGGTACATTGTTTCACTGAAACAGGTGAGTAACAATTTCAGTAGCTCGGTGCGTCGTTGTTCAAACTGTGAATTTTTCGGTGGCGAATGGGCAAAACCAACACCAGCATCCCAAATGTATTCACAACTATCGATGTTGGCCAACTCTTCCGCCTTGTCAGGGCCCGATCGACGAGCCGATGTCACCGTAAAATCGGGACAAAACAGCAAATCCTATGGAGAAAAGCACATATTTGACATTAGTATTAAAATATTCGAAGCAATGAGATCACAAATGAATTCAGAGAATGAAAACTTTCTTTCTCCACTCTTAAAAAACATCTCTTCTATAGAAAAGATAAGAGAATTCGTCATTGTAAATCCAAGAAATTGTTGTACTCAACAAATTCATCATTTTTCAACTCAAGCAAAAATTTCTGACAAAAAACACTGGACTCAAATCCAACATATGATGAATTTAGCAACTCATTAGACTTATTCACAACAATTTCCTCTCGAATATTTGAAAGGAAGAATCCAAACTTACACAAATTGCATTCAATAGGCTTTGTGCTAATGGAATGGTGGTTGGTTCATTTTCGTTGGCCGATGGCAATGATGACCAGAAAAAGTCTTTCCATTCGTTATCCTCGTGTATGTATGGAATGACTCTGGTAAGTAGTCGCACGCAATTTAAAGCTAGAAGGAAAAAAACAAAAATATGTTGAAAACATCTGTGAATGGGTCGTCACATTTTGTTCAGTAATTTTCTTTCTTCAAATGCATCTAACCATACCAGCTTGTTGTTCGGAATGTGTACGACAGCTGGTGTCGACGGCTCGAACCAGTCGTTCAGTTGCCTTGTAGCAGAGAGTGGCCAGATTTGCGGGATTATCTCGCCGAAGTGTTCGAATTTCACTCGACGGCACCAATGCGAATACGTCTTGTATGTTGGTGCCATGGTCAGACCAAAATTGATCCCAGAACACATCATCATTTGCATTTATTTGCTGAAATATCAAATGAAAATATAAAAAAAATTGTCACTTTCACAGCGACTATCGGCGATAATATCGTTGTGTGGTTTAATTAAACCGCACAATATGGTTACATTTGATGCCAATCATCTAATCATAATTCCACCAAATTATCACATAAGCGAATTGAATTGTTCGATGGCAATGTTTTCGTTGCACTTGATTGAACATTTCACAGAATCATATGCACATACCGATTTCTACGGTGAAATCAATCCGTGTGATTAACGAAAAAAAAAAATCGATAACCTTTGTTATTGTCTTGCTGTTTGGTGTGAAAATGTCGCTGCTGCACTTGAACAACAAATGAATGGCTATTTACCTGATCTTTGGTGCCAAGTTGAACAATCGCTTTACGAAAATTCAATTTTGTATCGACGTTGCCCATTGTCGATCACAATCTCTCGCGCTGCCTTTTTTTAATTTTTAACCAGTCTTTTTGTAATCCACACAAAAACTCGACGTCTTAATTCTCCGTAAAAGTGTTTCGAATAAAAAAACACCGATGTGTATGTTGTAGGCGCAGAGACAGCAACAACAACAACACTACTACGTATTCTGTGTGTTCGTCCTATTTGACAACTCACTATAACTTCATATGAATGGCAGAGAGAAAAATACACGCAAGAAGAAATGCTCAATTGCTCAATGGCTCAGATATGCTGATGACGGTGGTGTCGTTGTTTGACAATCAGATTCCATACATACCATGCACGTTTTTGACAAGAGATGACGCTGCTAGCGGATGATAATGATGACGACAACCTATCCATATCTCAGCAGATAACCTCAATAAGAATATTTTGTCTTTCTGTTTCGAATTTGCATACGGATTTCTCATTTCAAATGAGACAGAGATTTTATGTAAACAGATGATACGAAAAATCTTCGCCGAAGATACCATGTACACAAAAATTGAATCAAATCTCGATAAATTCAAGATTCTCTGAGTTTTTACCAGCTCTACCGTATTCAATGATAAGAGTGTGAAAAATTAAATTAAAAAAACCGCTTGATTTATATTTTTTTTTTATTGAAAATGTTTATTGAATGATCTCATCATCATTTTCATGAATAAAAAGCCACACATCCCTTCGAAAAGAGACATAAACTTTTTTAAGCGGCGTACACATTCTTAGTAGAGACGTTGTGGTGGTCCCATGGTTGATTTGATGTGCAATGAACGCACGTTTTGCCAGTGCTTCTTGAGCAACGACACCAAGAAGTTGATTGACAAGTGAATGTTTTGGACCAATTCATCTTGGGACATGTTAACGTGACCAACAGCAACTGAAAGGCACAAGACCTGGAAAACGAAAACAAAAGCAATTAGTACAAATGGATTAGATGGATTCAGAAGAAGATAGAATAAAAACGTTTGTTTGACAAAACGATTTGGATCTTAAAGTTTCCTAACGTAGGAACGTTGTTCCAATGCGGAACAATCAAAATTAATTGCATCGAGAGTGAAAATTCGAAGAAAAATGTTAAAATGTGTGTGTAAAATACGTACCTTCTTCATTTGGAACTTGATGGTGGCCTTGACTTCATCGATCTTAGCGGTCATCGATTCGTTGTGTTGCAACAAACCAGGGAATTTACCGGCTTTGTTCAAACCTGGACCCAACAAACGTGGAATTTGCTTGATCAATGATTCGGATGCCAAGAAGGCGTCGTAGCTTTTGGCCAATTTTTTCACCAATTTCTTGTTTTTGTTCAATTTTTTCAAGGCTTCAGCATCCATGAATGGAATGTCCAAAGCTTTGGCTTCGTCACAATGCTGTTGATCACCGAGAACGCACACACGCATCTTTGGACGTGGGATATTCTTGAGCCTATTCGAAATGACAATAACAAACGCGCGCACATTAGTAAATTTTCATATAAATTCCGTTGCCGGTTTTATTCTGGGGTGTGTGTGTGTGTGTGTATGGGTCATAAATAAATAGAGTGTCACTAGTTTGTTGTCGCACGAACAACACTCACCAATGCGATGTGTGTACAATCCTAACCTCAATTTAACTTTTTTTTGAAGAAAAAAAAATGTGTGGTGATTGCTTTCGCAATGACCTACTCAATTTATTTAAGACCCTGAGTGCAGGTCCGCCATTGGACATGGCTTCCTGAACCAAATGACCAATGTTTTAAAGCGTATTTCAAAAGCCAAACATATTCTCGTTTAATTCATTGTTTTGTCACGCTTAAAACATTGTTCAAATATCAGGTTGAACATACTTGACAGTGCCGGAGAAACGCTTGTCCTTTTGTGGATCGTAGTTCTTCAATCCGATTTGCAATTCGACAGATTCCAAGAAAGCACGTTTCTTGGCCTTCGAATGGTCAAGGATTGAGGCAACCGACTCATAAAGAGTGTCGCGAGAAACTTTTGATCTGAAATGATGAGAGAAAATGAAATGTTTAGTTACGACCTGTACTATCAGACAGAGTGGTGTGTTTGAACGAGCAAAATGTCCAAACAATCAGAAAAAAAATCGACTAATTTCATAAGAAAATCGGTTGATTTATCACAACATCTGATTTATTTCACAATTAATATTGCAATTTCATCCATGCCGCATAAAACAATTGCATTTAGTTGAAGCGGTTGGTTTAAAATTGCCACAATCATTGCAACCATCACGCTCAATTACACAGTTCCGGTACGATTTTATTTTGAATTTTTTTCAATAAATTCGAGATAAAAATTCACGAAAATTCGGAAATTAAATGATTCTTTACACTTTTTACTATTGAATTTCGATGTTTTTTCAACGATTTTGTTGAGGATGATTGCAATAATTTTCGATAAAAATTCTATTGGGAAAATTGTTCAACACTCACGTCATCTTTGAAACGATGTGTATAGTTTCACGTTGAAATGGAAAGAGAACCGAAGAATTCACTCGCCGCTATATGTGACTGAAAAAAGCACGTTTTGGATTGGACGTGAAGTTGGTTGGTGTCAATCTGTCAAGTCGACCAAGTGCGATGCGTTCAATTCCGTCATGAAGAAAACGCACAAATTCCGAATGTTTTCACACATTTTTTTGTCTTTTTTTTTATTCATTTTTTCATTAACAACCACAAATTGGTTTAAATAAATGCATTGAAATTAAATGACAAAACTTCATTCGAAATCACAATTTCCTCGCTCAACATTTGTTCCAAAAATTTGCATTTCAAATGATACGAATGAATTACATTCTGCGACCGGAATCGCTTGCAATTTGACAGTTCTCATTTCTATTGCAAAGCGAATAAATTCAATGTCACGAACCGAAAGGTTAACAACAGAAGGCGATCAACATGCATGAATTCGTATCGAATGTAGGCTGTCGGCGGACCTGTTGTCCAACTTGAGTACTCTCTCCATAGCATTAATTGAAAAAAAATTCCCACAGAGTATGAATTATTCGCACTGAACACATTTGTATTCAGTCGCCTTACGAACGCAAACGAAACGGAATTGAAAGAATAAAATGGTTATCACGACATCTGATGTAAGAGAAAGCCAATAAATACTTTTTATTTGTTTTAGTTTGAATATATTTGTCTTTTGTGTTTACGTGTAGAGTGTGTGCACTCGCGGTCACATACCATTTACGGCAAGTGTGTAGCTAGAATGTAATGTCGATTCGGAATTGCTGATTGATGCATGCTACTGGATGATTGATTTTTATAGTAAAAACACACATGTTACGCAATTTTTCTTTTTCTTTTCATTCTTTAAAAACACGCACACACGCAAGCGATCATGCTACTCGGTGTGTGTGGCTCTCATTTCTCTGGTGTGTGAATAATTGAAGAGATACAACATTCAAACTGTTCTCTACGGTCGTTTGAAAATGAATCGTTGTACAAACTGAAATCGATTTAACCTTGGAAATCGAAAGAGCCGACGATTTCAGCGTTAACGAACGCAATATGAATAAGATAACTTTTGAGTTTTGATGATACAATTGTTGATTTTTTGTTTGTGCCATATTTGCGTTTCGCTTGACAAAGTCATCACACGTTCCATAGAGATCGAAACGAGTGATTTAGTCAACTCATTTTGACTTAACTACTTTAGCAAGGGCTTCCTTTAGTTCGCTACAAATTGTCAGTTGATTTTGTATTTTCATTGTTGATATATCATGTCGCTGGAGGTGAGATCGTGGATCATCAGTTTTTTGGAATATTTTGCATAAAATTTCGATTGGTTCTTTATTTGGAAATGTGAATTCCTTGAAAGATTATCAATTTTCTGGAAGTGTGAATTTCTTTGGATTCCCATTTTAGGAACGTTTTTCTTTTGGGAATGTGCATTAGTTTTTTCGAAGCGTTAGTTACTTTGTTTGATGGTTCTTTTGGCAAACAATTGAGATTTGACACATTTCATATGTTAAATAATTAATTTCAAGTGGTTACTCATCATCAAATGAATTCTAAGCAATTATCCGAAGTCAAAATGATGGAACTAGGGCAAAAATGACCTAATTAAAAACAAGTTCTCACTGAAACAAAATTTTTTTCTCAAGAAACAGAATCACAAACAAAACGAGAAATGAGAAAAGAAAAAGAAAATATATCAATAATGAAACTTCAAGAAACATGGAACTAATGCCATCAATGTGTGTATTTTCAGATTTTGCCTGTGGTCTTTGGCATAGCGGCTGTCATAACGGTTGCTGTAGCTGCTCATTTTTACTTCTCCAAATCAAAAGATGGCAAAAAGAAAAAGTTGACAACTCTATTGGGCCCAACGCAGAAGGTTATGCTGCCACTGATCGAAAAGGAGGAAATTAGCCATGACACAAAACGTGAGTACTCACAGAAATTACGATTTCGCAAACTTTTTAATCAAAGAATATGTGTGACGTTGAACGAACTCGCATGTGATAAGATTGTGAAAAATAGCAGAAAATTGAAAGGAAACAAAACGATAACTCTATAGAAACAATATGAAACACACATTTTAATTTTTAATGTGTAACGATCACGACACTGCTAACTTACAAGTGGCAATCAATATACGCGAATGTGCGTGAAAATTCATTAGATAAGATTGCACAGTGGCTTGAATATTAAAGTTGAGACATTTTTTTTTCTTCCAAATTTCAGGTTTTCGATTTGGTTTGCCATCATCGGAGCATGTGTTGGGTTTGCCAATTGGTCAGCACATTCATTTGATTGCCACAATCAACGAGGAGAATGTAATCCGTGCCTATACACCAGTTTCAAGTGATGAAAACCAGGGATATGTCGATTTGGTGATCAAAGTATATGCTCGCAATGTTCATCCGAAATTCCCGAACGGTGGCAAAATGTCGCAGCATGTCGATGAATTGAAAATCGGTGATACGATCGCATTCCGTGGTCCAACTGGTAAATTGCAGTACTTTGGCGATGGCAAATTCAACATTAACAAACCAAACAAGGCTCCGGTCAATCTCAAAGCCAAATATATCAACATGATCGCTGGTGGCACTGGAATCACGCCAATGCTTCAATTGGCTCGCGAGATTTTGACTCGTGCCAAAGAAAACCATCTCAAACTTGCTCTCTTGTTTGCCAACCAAAGTGAAGACGATATTTTGCTTCGCGACGAATTGGATGCATTGGCCGCCGAGTATCCAGACAACTTTAAAGTTTGGTATACTGTGGATAAGGCTTCAGACACATGGGCTTACAGCGTCGGTTTTGTGAATGCCGACATGATTCGCGACAATTTGTATCCGCCCTCAGAAGATACCGTTGTACTTATGTGTGGTCCACCACCAATGATCAACTATGCATGCCAACCGAACCTCGACACACTTGAATACAATCCAGATCTTAGATTCGCTTACTAAACCCTTTTCCAAGCGGTGTGCTAATCGAGATGGAGAACCAGATCAAACCAGTTTTTTTTATCGAATAAATTATACTGCCGTTATGATATCTAATTGAAACGCTTATTTGTTATTCAAGTGAATAAAATCCAGAATATTTACGGAATTTTTTTTGTTGAAATTTTAGTTTCTTTTGTTTATTAAATTTACATCTTTTTTTTTTTATACAGATCAATTAGCTCCATTCTTTTGAAAAATCACACACCAATTGCCCTGATCGTAGTAGCTCTTTACAATTGAAATGTTTTCAAATTGTTTGCACAGCGTTTCTAATTCATTTTCCTCGAAAACGTGATAAAATCGAAGAAATGTCGTTGGATGCTGATCGCCTGCGCCGTCTTGGTTGGATGCTTTTGTTGAATTTTTCAATTTCCATGGCACCAAAATGTCGGTGTGCTCGAATTGTGTACGATTCGTATGAATTGGCAGGGATGATGTGCAGTTGGTTGAATTGACAATTTCTGATGTCCCTGAGCTCTGCTCAATGTCGTTACTTTCATTACACTCTTTGTCATCTTTTCGTTGGTTTCGTTTATTCTGCAGCAGGTAACTTGATTTACATTTTACCGCTTGATTCTTGGCCCATACATAAATTAAGCCTCTGCCCTTTGGACGGAGTATGCGAACCATTTCACCTACAGCACGCCGGCGACGCTCCTGAAACGGAAATGAATGGGTTTTCATTTATTGCATTTGAATTTCGATCTAAGATAATAGAAATATTTTTCATTGAATAAAGAAGGGCCAAAAAAAATTTTCACTTTGCAAAAGCACAGGTCAACGGATTCAATTTGATGTTCGAAATTGATTTTATGCAATAAGGCAGAGCCTGTTTTTTCGGGATCTTCCTCTTCTTCTTATTGTGAAATTCATGTTTATTTTATTGAATGCAATGTGAATTCTAATATTTTTTCAACGTGAAATAACCTAGGGGCTTCTATGTCGGTTTGGCATTCGAATTTTTATTCACAAATTCGCGCTCAGTGCCATGCATTCGCAACGCTGCCATATGATTTCTATGTAAACATTCGCACTCGCATTCGTATAGCAGTCGTATTTCGCTGTTCTCGAACATTCTCACGAATGCGAGTGCGAATGTTTACATAGAAATCATACGGCAGCGTTGCGAATGCATGCATAAACACGAATGAACGAATGAATTATGTAGTCACAAGTTCGCTGTCATAGTCGCATTCGTCGCATTCGCAAACATTCGAATTTTTGTTCTGTAATGCGAATGCATTCGCGAGAGATAAATCCCCTTAGGAAATAACTTAACCCTCTAATGCATTAATTTTTCCCAGGGCTGGGAGTATTAGTACTTGGTTGATTTTTGGCAATAGATGATTAAAAAAATATTCGTAATCCTAGATTCCTCATGGTTTAGTCAGGAAATGCGATTGACATAAATCAGAGAACAATCAAATCCATTGTTTAAAAGTGTCAAAAATGTGTCTAATTTGGAGTTCGAATAATTTATTTTGTCAAATTTTTGTTTTTGCACACATTTTTGTTCATAACTTTAAAATCATACTGCATAGACAAATATTGCCAAAGACAAAAATAAAGAGAGAACATTGACGAATAAAAATTCTTTTTAAAGCAATGTGATCCGATGTACGGTTCTACAGACGTTCAAATGTTGCCCGTCTGGAGGCGGTTGTATGCATTAGAGGGTTAAAACTGATTCAGAAGTAATTTCACGTTGAAAAAATATTAGAATTCACATTGCATTCAATAACAACAGGAAGATCCCGAAAAACAGGCTCTGCAATAAGCGTTGAATAAATTTTGGAATCTGGTCATTTTATTGCAGAACTTACTTCAGACGCCAAGTGATGAATTACTGCAATACTAATGCACCCATCGACGGAATTCGATCGCACCGGAACAGCCAAGCAATCACATTGAAATATGTTGAACTCTCGCTCACGACATACATTCAAAAGGCCATCGCTCCGATCACATCCAATCTAGATGTAACAAGATTTTCAATGTTGAATATTCACAAAATTGAAGTTTGAAAAAAAAAACTCAAGAATTCGCAAATCATTTACTCACTTCAAAGATATCACGATTTGACTGCAAGTACTTGCCGTTGCCACAGCCAATATCAACAAGAACGCTGCCTTTCTCAAATTGTTGAATGAATTCATTGACTTGAGGCCACGGCGAATGTCTCGTCTCACTAAAGTGATTCGCTATTTCATTATACACTTTGTGTACATTCTCTAATTCGCACAACGATGGATTTTCAATCGAATTTCCGGTGGCATTTCCTTTCGGTTTCTGTTTTTTATGCGTATCACACAGCGAATGGAACTCACATTTACACTCGGTTACTTTGGATAACCTGAAAAATTAGACAAGCAATGTGAAAAAAAAAATGGTAAATAAAAATAATGAAACATGAAATAGAAACGAAAATAAATATGGTAACAAAACCATTCCAAAGTTTTACTTTTGAATAAAACTATGCGCTGGTTGAACATGGTCAAAAATAATTTGAATATAGTTTTACTTAAAAGTGTGTAATTTTAAAAATGGATTAAAGAATTTCAAAAAAAAAAATTGAATTGAAGACAGAAACTCAGTGGCATTTACCATCTAAACGTATATGAAATGCGTTTGGAGCGGAATTTTGTGGTGAGATGACCAGCAGCGTCTCGAATCACGTCAATTTTTCTTGATGTAATACCGTGCTTCCAGCCATATCTCGATTCGCCCGACATTATGAGTAGCGATCGTCGCGGCAGCGATATTGAAACATGCGCTACATACTCTTTGCCATTCGTCGGACTCGGTTTTCGAAATTCCATAACAATATCACTGGCCAACGACAAGGACACTATGGCATCTTCAAAAGCACTGTGGGTGTCTACATGCGGTGGAATGCCTGGAATATTCAATCAATTTTTTTTTTCAAGATGTAAAATTAACAAATTTGATCATTGACGTAGCATATTGAGAGCTTTTTCTTGTCGATAATCACACAAAACATTTTTGAATTGAATTATTGTTTTCAAAAATGCATTAATTGAATGTTACCTTGTCCTGGTTCATATTTGTTGACAGTTATTTGCTGGGGTGGCTCATTTAAAACGTCATTTATTTTCTGCTCCCGGAATTTATCCCAGAGAAAGTTACAATCATCGGGTATTTTCTCATTGAGCAATGGTTTGTCTGCATCCACATTGTTGGTATCGTATCGAAATTCATAGCCAAAATGTTTCACTTGACGATGCTTCAGCACCGAACCACTTTCCTCCGCTTGATTCCACTCAATCAAATTGATGAGTATCGCCTCTTCGGCTGGTGTTATAAAATTTTCAACGATCACCAAGCCCGGTGGCAAACACTGTTGAGTCTTGTCATTGATATCTTTTGCCGGAACTGTATCGAATGCGATATGAAATGAAATCAAATCAAATGATGAATTAGTTGAAGCATTCTGTATGATAAGTATTACTAGATGAATCAAATCGAATAAATTCAAAGAGACGAATCGTGTCAGACGATATTCGGGCAGAATGTCATTTAAATTTGTAATTTGTATCAGAATAAGAAGTTAATAAATTACCATTAAATTAAATTAAATTTTGAAGTTAAAGTATTCGAAAAGAGTGGAAAACAACTGCTTATTCGTGCCAACATTATCATATTTTTCCATACAAATAACCAGGTTCATCTTTGCATATAACCAAAATATCCTATAACCACTTAAGAAACAAACCTTCGATACAATAGGTCAAGTAGATGACTGTGTCATTCTGGCCCAGACGACTTTTAGCGTGAGTTCCTTCATAAATCTGTTTTGCGTTGGTTGCATCGGCACAAATAACAAAACAGTAGGATTTATCACGCAACAGGCATAAATCAGATAAGGCACCAAATTTCGAAAACTCTGACACAAGTGCAGTTTGATCGAGTCCAGTCGATAATCCAGCATTGCATATCACTAAATTCTGTAAATTTACATGACAATCAATTTAATTCGTCGAAGCTTTCTAAACAAAATCCCATTTTTAATCCACAACCTACCTTCGTTGGTTCGTCACAGCAAACAACGCCTGCATCATTTGCAATCATGTATTGACATCGCTTTTGTTTCCGTTGAATTTTCTTCTCGTGGTTTTTCGAAATTGCATCCGTATTTTTACTGTCTTCAGGCGCCGAAAGTGTCATCTTTCCTATTAATATAGTACAATTTTATTGTGTTTTTTTTTTCGTTTGCAAAGAGTCTCTCGTCTTTGAAATCGCGCACGTTTTGTTATTGAAACCAAATTTTGACAGCTGATGGTGTTTGAAAATGTGCGTTTACTGTCAAACCGAATTCTGTCAAATACCACCACAACAATTCGTGGCAGCCATGTTTGCTATTCAATGACCAGCATCGAAGTGTGTATATGTGTGCACCTGATGTGTCATTTGGAAACAAATTAAACAAACGATCATACTGAACACACGACTATTGGGCGTTGTTTATGTTTTTAGTAAAATTTTATTGTTAAATACTCGATTTATTAAGTTTGATGTGTGATTTGTGAAATCTACAGACCGATTAAACGAATTTGAATTGAAATTAAACAGAAATGATGAAAGTGCAAGTGCAAATAATCGTTGCAGCAATCAGTGTGCTACTATTGATCGAACAATGTAAGTGTTGTTGAATCGAAAGTTTGTCTAATTGCCAATCGTTGATTACGGAAAGAAAAATCATCAAGTAAACACAAGTTTCTTAACATCTTAAGTCAGAGAAAATAACTGTTTTAAGGAAAAATCGTCGGAATTTTTTTTATCCAAAGAGAAATCCACTAACTTTGATATCAATTTTCTTTGAATATCTGCATAGGTAATGCAATTTGGTGTTATCGTTGCACATCGGCGACTCCGGGCTGTGCAGAGAACTTCCATTGGCGTGGTATTGGCTACTGGGGCGAATCATGTCCCGAAGATAATGATATTTGCGTTAAGGTGATCGAACGCAAAGGAGGTAAATTGAACAACCAAATTGTTCTGTGGAAAAAAAAAAGAATTCGTTTTCAATGAAATAACATTCATTTATCCATTTAGCATCGGTGACAATAATCCGTGACTGTTTGAGTACATTGAATAGTGGCTATCGAACCGATTTGCCAGCCGACCGCTACGAGGGATGTCGTCCAGCTTCGAAAGATGTTCGACTTGGTCATTATGTTTTCAACAATACAATAAAAGAGCTCGATATCAAACGTGATCACTTTGATGAAACAACATTCTGCTATTGCTTTCTCGATCATCGATGCAATGGCTCAACATCAATAAATGCATCCATTTTGTCATGTACCATTGGAGCGGCAATCGCCTTAATGGTCGCATTGCGACTGTTTTAATTTTATTTTAAGTCCAAATTTTGGATTTCAACACGAAAATTTTCAACAAATTGAGAACATTCAACAATTTCCATTAACAGAAAAAGTTCCAATTTGAAACTTCTAAACCTTGATAAGCAAATCTCAAAATTGCACATTTGTTGAACAAAACAAATTCCCGAATAATTATCAACACTTTTTCATATTCAAACAAAATTCAGAACATTCCAAATTGAACTGTCTAAAATCAGTAGTCTACTCTAATACAGTATAATGTATTGCCTCCGTTGCCTTAGATGATGGTTAAAGTCTTTACAAAATTCACCAAAAAAGCAGAATGTTACGCCACATGCCAGAAAAAAACTCATACAATTTCAACTATGAAAAAAAAATGAGCCAATCGATACATTGACTTTATACAAATATTTTGACCATTTTTTTAGAACCTTTTAAAATGACCAGCTTTTAGGTATGAGAACCTCAAAGAATTATCCATTTCGTCGCAATTATCCGTCCAAATCAGCATATCGAATATTCTCGTTATGAATTGATTGATTCGTTAGTTTTATCGAATAGTGCTATAAATAGATTTTTATATTGTACAAAAACAAGTCCGATGATTTCATACACAAAACGGTTGTAGTTAGCAAATCATCAAATGTCATTTTACCAATGAATAAAGCCAATTTTTAAAAAATTCAAAATGCGCTCGTGCGTTTTATTTTTCTGGTGATTTTAGTTTGAAATAAATGTAAAAAATGAAATGAAAAAATTTTTTTGCTCAATTTTCGACCAATTTCCCTTTATTCGTCTATTTTTTTTCGTTAATTTGACTTTTGATGTTTTTTTCTTGAGCATTTCAATACCGTCTCATCGAGTATTGAAGTTCATGACCATTTATTGCTTATTCTATCTCTTCAAAAAAGATTAAATCCGGAAAAAAGCAACAAAAAGGTAAAAAAGTAAAATAAAATCGTAAAATAATCAGCTAAAAAAGTATTCCCCCATTCGAGTAATCTGTGTCACCTATCCATTCGCAAACAAAAAGAAACGAATGAGCGATGCGAGTTGCTATTGACAACGGTCACAGCAAAAACACACATTCTACATAAATAAACGGGAGGAATGAATGAGTTAGTGAGTTAGTTGGTTTATTATCTCTATTTTGAACTTAAAGTGAAAATTTCTTAATTCCTCAAAATGGAATTGGAATTGAATCGAATAGATTATTGTTCAGTTGGGGCCACGTTGCCGAATTGCATGAAATTGATACCAGCACCACGATACAAGGAACAGCAACGAGTACGGCTAAATTGTTGATTATTTGCATTTTTCAACTGGAACTTTCATACCGAATTGTATAATATGGATTGAAATTTTCAGATGGTTGTTGGCGATCAAGATGGCATTGTTCAATTGTTTTCGATGAAAAAGGAGGAGATGGTGATTCACTTCAAAACCCTACCCGCCGATAAAGTGCAGTCCATTCAATTGAGTGGCACACCTGGTAAAATTCACGGAGGATTTTTCAAATCCAAAAAATTGTTAAGTTACTATGAATCCTAATTCTACATTTAAGGTACAATACCCGATAAAATTTTTGTCGCCACCGATAATAAGGTCAAAGCATTCAACAAAAAAGGGAAAATATTTCTAACATTCACTTCGAACTTAACCGAACCAATCAAAACGATGTTTGTATCGGGGAATGATATGATTTTGTGCGGAAATCATGTTTATAATCATTATCGGGATTGTAAAGATATCGGCTCATATTTGTGCGGTGATACTATCGTTGATGTGGTCGCATTGTGCCCGAATAATGTAAGTAAATAACATTTTTCTTCGATTCAGAAGTCATTTTTATTTGATTGACGAAATTTTTCGGTTTCAGTCAATGATAACACCAGAAGAGTTTTGCTCTACTCTTTTTCTACTAACAGACTAAATTCAATACTTTTCTTTTTGCAGACCAATCGCATTGTGACAGTGTTAGCATGCTCTGGTCGAGTACTCCGTGTGCTCGAGCACTGTCGCGTTCGTCAGTCAATTGAACTAGAAAGTGTACCGACGGTGTTGCACATACCAAAAGGGTACAACGATCGATTGATTTGCGGTATGACCGATGGTCGTGTGGTTTTATTTCGAGTCGGGAATTTTGTGAGTAATTTCAAGGAGGAAACATTGGTTGAGCCAAGTGAAAATTCTAGTGCTGTGACTACGATTGATGCATTCGATTTAACGGGTGATGGTAAAGTGGAATTGATTGTGGGACGACGAGATGGATCGATTCAAGTTTATAGTTTGCCAAGCGAAGAAAATGCTTTCGATTTAAGCGTGCGACAAATTTATAATGAGGTAACATCTTTAAAATGCTCTTGAGGAGAAAAAAAAGTAAAAAATATTTAAAAAAAAAACACATTTTGAAATGAAAATAATCTTGTCTTTAGGTTCTAGTCTGAAATATCTTCATACAATTCTAAGTTCATAATTTGTTGTCCACAGAATTTCAACGAAAGTATCTCAACCGTTCAAGGCGGAACGATCGACGCAAATGGCTATGTAGAGGTTGTGGTTTGTACTTATACCGGTAGAATATTTGGTTTAAGCACACGATGCCCGAAGAAAATTTTAAGCGATTCAATGATGAATCAAGGCTTCGCCGGTGATTCCAATGCTCGAATCGAAAAATTAAAGTAATCCCTCTACCTGTTTTCTAAGATACCAAAGTCAGATTGTAGGCGTTTCCTAATCTCAATCCACATTCTTCGTTCTTGCTCTTTTTACCAGGGAGGAAATTCGTGATCTTGAAATGAAGGTGCAACGTGAGCGCGAACGATACAAGCTATCAACTCAAACATTATCTGGTGGCTATTCGGCCATACCGATGATGCCCATAAATTCAGCGGTAAGTTTTTTTTTCTTCTTCAAATCCAAACCTTCTTATTCTCTTAGCCAACTCAACCAAAATTCAATTTCTCAGTTAAGTTTATCCAAAGAAGACGCATCGTACTCATTGACAATCGAAATACCAGCACCAATTGAGTTTGTATTGCTGCAAAGCAACGCACCCGTTCAACTGATCGATGTGGAGAAAAGTTCGGCCGTCGTTAGTTTTAGCCGATGTGATCCGAGTGTAAGTTGTTATTTACCATAATAATATGATTGACAATTTGCTAAAAAAAAAAAATCCTAAATCAAAAATATGGTTTGGCATTCGCAGGCCGGGAACTACTTATTAGCTACGTATCGCTGCCAAGTGGATGTGAATCGTTTGGATTTGAAATTTCGCACGATCGAAGGGTATCAAGGAATATTGCAAGCATTTATTACGCCAAATATTCAACCAAAAGTGTCTCAATTGCAAGAGCATCCAATTAAACCGTTGTCGTTGCACATGAGAATTCATTCGTTTGACAATGAGCGACCACACAATAAATTAACTCTCAAGGGATACTTCAGTCATGCCGAAGCCCATACCTGGATTAGCAACTGCATTCCTGAAGTGCCAGAAAAATTGCAAATCATCAGCAATGAGAGAAGTGTGCTGAATTTCCGAAACGTTTTCATCGGCAGTGAATTGATGTGTGAATATACGTAAGTTCAACTTGATAAACCAAATTATTTTGTTGATAAAATTTGGGAACATAAAAATCTGCTTTAAAAAATATAAATAAACGAGTAGAACCAAAATTAGGCTAGTACAAAAATTGGTAAATTGTTAAAAATTCGTAAAATTGATAAAAAAAAACCCGTATCTATTGAATGCAGAAAAGGAGAAGCAACATTCAAAACGGAAAATGTGACAACAATTTCGATTATCAAGGACATTCTGACAAAAGAAGCCACTAAACGGCGCACCAAATTGGAGATATTGCTTGGTTTGTACATTTATTAATTGTCCATAAATTTTTTTTATTTTTATTTTCTGTTTCTTCCCCAAATTCCAGATGTAAATCGAGCAAGTGTGTCGTTTATGATTGGTCTAATTGAACCTAAGCTCATTGAACACAGTAAAATTCACAAAGAATACCAAATAATCGGCAGTCTAATCGATTTGGATATTCAAGACAACAGTGAACTAGAGTCGCTGGGCAATGATTTTGCTGATGTGTTGGAGCGCAAGAATAAAATAATCGAAACGTACAACCGCTCCTCGCATATGCTGGACCGTATAAAAGCAATCATCATTTGCATTTACATTGATTACAACAAATTGAGAGGGTCTGAGGTGAAACACAAAGTGCATCTACTCGATGATCTTATCAAAAATTACAATAACGAAACTTTAGTCAATTTCATATTGGGCGTTACATCTGAAGACCATTTTCAGATCTAATAAACGGCATCACGTCTATGAAATTGGTATAAGAAATGTATGGAATTAAAAGATATTAAAATTTGGAGAAAAAAAACCGAAGAATTGATACACACAGGTTAAAATTAAAACAACAACAAAAAACGAAGAAGATTCAAAAGTAAAAAACCAAATTAAAAGGAATTGAAAAAGCAAATAAAAAGTTCAATTAAAATTCAGATGGACTTGAACACGGTTCTGTTTTTATTTTGCTCTACTTTGTAAGCAATTTTGTATTTGTAAATGTAAACATTTTAACACAGAAAATGTGTTGGTATGTAATCACAAAATATGAATTATTGTATTAAGGGAGAGAATGGATAGGTGAATTCGACGAAAAGCGGGCGATGTTTTGATTCGAAATTTTATTGCTCTTTTTCGTATTGAATTTGCGCGAATTGAAAAGAAAAAAAGAGGGAGAGAGAAATAGAGAGAGAAAAAAAATAAATGATTTTCATATTGTTACAATTTTAAAATAAATAACTTATTAAATGCGAAAATAATATAAAAATTTCGCCCGGATTTTTTTTTTTTCAATATGTTTTTCTTCTCAGCATAATTCATAAATTTCAAACAAACAAAAGTATCTGCGTTTGGAAAATGTTCGTATGTGCGATGTGGTGTAGTTGGACTGGTTTATTTTCGCTGTGCCGGTGGAACGTATACACCTTGGCCACCTCGATTGCCACGGTATCGCTGCTGTTGGTTCGGTTGCGTTGGAAGTGGCGGATGTAGAACAGCTGAATGATGCGGTGGGTGATGACCCGGTTCTGTGGTGGAAAATAACAAAAATGTGAATCACAAAATGAATCGTTTTCGGAAATCATTGACAAAAAGGAAATAGCCCGAAAATAAAAATGAAACCAACGAACATTTAGAACTTACGATGAAACGGCGGTTGATGAAAGTGTGGTCCGCCTTTGTTTGGTGGTAGTTGCGCGTATGCGATTTGATGGATGGGCGCTGGTGCTTGCATCGCGCTATACTGATTGATCGGTTGATGATTAGCATCGGTGATGGGCAAACAGTCGGTGAGCAGTACTTCTTCGAAGTTTCCATACTCGGGGAAATGGACGACACACGTTTTGTCGGTAACGGCTTGAATTTCCGCATTATAATACTTTTCGTCTTCCCAATACTTGGCCAAACAACGGTCGCCCACTTTGAAACTCCACAAAAATTGCTGCGGTGGTGGTTGAGGCATCGCCGGTAATGTAAACTGTGCTACATTTGGATTGATATAAGTTGGTTTTGGTGCCGGAATATTTTGCTGTACGGGAACAAGCGGAATTTGCTGATTCGGGATGTGAGCATGTTTTAGATTCGGTTGAGTGTTTGGAATAGGCGCCGTGTTTAGATTATTATTATTCACAAATACATTGCCGCCGCCTCCACCACCACCACCACCACCACTTGCACCACTGCCAGTATTGTTGTTTCCGGCTTTGGATGACTTTTGGTCGCCCATTTTCAATACATTCATCGCAAACTCGTTGGTTTCCTTGTTCTGGAATCCCATTATCTTGTACGGATTGTAGGGGAATTGTTTTGCATGCGGAAACATCTCTTCGAAATTTGTATTCCGCTGTTGCTGCTGCTGTTGGTGGTGGTGTTGTTGTTGTTGCGAGGGCGGTGCTTGACCTTGATTCGCCTTATGAGACTTATTATCATTACCTATCTGCAGATTTGCAGTCGCATCAATTAAACTCTTCATATTCGCCTTTGGTTTCGCATTTGACGGTACATTCGAGTTTGGCAATGGTTTTCGGTCGTTCGGTGTCCGCTTATTGTTCTGTGAAAAGAGATCAAATTTTTTTTAAATGAAGAAAGCTATTTTTTTTCGTTGAAAATTCAAAAATCACACAGTTCAAACTCACCATATCATTACTATATGAATGATGTGAATCGGATTGTGATGGATTATTTTGTGGTGCCGAGTATCGTGAGTTTTTCGCATTGTTTTGCTGGTAGTTATGGTTTGGATTTTGGTACGTTTGATTATTCGATTGCGTTGATTTATACGATGATTGTTGTTGTTGATGCGGTGATGATTGGTATTGCTGGAATGTTGGTTTGTTGCCTTGCTTCTCCGGTGCATCATTGTTCCACTTGGAACGGGATGGTTGAGATTCATCTTTCTTTTGTCGACTAGCAAAACTAGATGAAATGTTATTCTCGAATTTGGATGCGTTTCGTTGTGAATTCGATTTGCTGCCACCATAATCATGTGACTGCGACTGTGACTGTGACTGATGATTGGGTAGTCGGGTGTTTTGTTTTTGTTGTGGTGGTTCAACATCGGGAATTTTATCCGAAAGAAAATCGAATAGTGAAACTTTCCCGCTTGGTTTGGCTGCTGGTGGTTCATCGAATTTTCCACCACGTCTTGAGCTGCGTTCAGGTGCCGTGGCTTCAGGTAGTTTAGTTCGCTTGTGATCGGATGTGTCATTGCGTTTTTTCAATCCACTCATTGCCTTCTCGAGATTGTTTCGCGAAATTTTCAGAGCTAATTTAGCTTGATCTTCGCTATACCCCTTGTCCATGATTTTCTTGACATTATGGTCAACAAGCTGCCGATTGTGACCACCAAACTGTTTTCTCACCTCACCATTGGTAGCTGCATCTGCAATGGCACTGTTTCGCAACGCTAAAAACTCACTTTCCTCTTTCGACACTTCCTTTGTTTTGGTCGTATCTTTAAGACTTTTGAAAGTGGCGTCATCACCATTCGCTCCTTTTATCTTATTCCCAAACGAAATCCATGGCGGTGGACTGCCTTTCAGTGTGTCACCATTTGATTTTTTCGAACTTGGCCCACCGATTCCCGCATACTTTGCCAATGTTCGATGAGTTTCCCATTTTTCGTACAACGTTTGCACTTGACCACCCAAAATACTGATGTTCTGTGGTGTAAGCGACAAAAAGCCCTGAATCACTTTGACGGTATTTCGCAAGAGTACCTTTGTGCCGGGTGCCACATTAATACTAAACGCTGACAAATGCTCCAAATCGAGACCAGAACAAACTGACTGACCGTCGCTCAGGTCAATTTGCAGCAGCCGCGGTGATGTTTTCGATTCTTGATTCACTTTGGGTGCAGACACATTTCGCACATTGACCACTTGCAGAACGACGCCGCTTGACGGCAACTCCACTTTCGATGATTTGGCAATGTCATTTGGCAACCCACCATTTATAACTAATTCACGCAAATCATGCTATTTTTTGGAAGAAAAAAAGACAGAAAGACATTTATCATATTTCTCCTAACATGACGCATAAATTCTACATAGTTAGCGATTAATCCATTCCATGTGCCATCGAAACGATTCAGAAGCATACAATATATCTATAAATATTTTCTTTTTTCTCTCTCGAAAAAAAAAGAAGAGTATTTGCTCATTGCTTTATTTCATCAGTTTCAAACACATGCATATGAATGCCAACGACGCGAAACACACCGAAAGATGATGATTGGAATCAGTTGATTCAGTGTGTGATGAATTGTCACGGAAAACCATTTTAATTTTACGATGGAAAGCATTTTCTCTTTCTGCGTAAATATTTAGATGGCAGTGTCTTAAAAATAGATGAAAGGAAAACCATTCATCAACACACACAATCAATGCCAATATAGAATATCGGCACTCAGTTGGGATAATATCACAAAAACTTACGTCTAGTGCACGCTTTTTCAACTCCTTTACGTCACCGATCAAACCATTTTCATTGAGTTTTTTCAGACCATCATCGCTGATAAACCTACAAATCACATAATCCACACAACAATTAATATCTTCTATCCGTTGAAATTCACTCGATTTTACTGAAATGTCACCAAAATTTATCAATTTTTTACGAAAAACTTACCAGCCTTCGTCTTTTAACTTCTGTAACACAGTCGCCATATTGGTGTTTACATAAAACTGTTTCGTTTCAACCGTATATATTATTGTACTACTGTGTGCTCTTCTGTGTATCTTCACACTTGCACACACAAACGTCGCGATTGATGTCAGTGTGTATGCTTGAATGCCCCAGCCGAAATATCGGTTCAGTGATAACTTAAATGTCAAACTTCATATATGATGGAAAAGAAGAAGAAGAAGAAGTGTTCGTTTTGACAGTTTTCACAAATATGCACTTACACATACGCATGGACGCCACACACAGACATACAAAGGTACTCTCTGAATGAATCGCTCTCATATGATACAAACTCGAATATTCTACTGAAGAAAACCGTTGAACATTTTGAAACAATTGCGAATAAAATCATTTTATAAAATAAAAATTGTTTTCATTTTTCAGAGTCTTTTTTGGGGTGAATGTTTTTTTTTTCGAATTGAAAAAGAAAATTCAAACATTTCTGCACATTTAAGAGTTATTTATTATTACATATTTAATAAATATTACAATTTTCTTGAGATGCGAGGTCGGTCAAAAATGTACCATTTACGATATATACACAGATAAAGTAATTGTTTATTTTGTTTCTAAATAGACAAATGGATGTTTTTATCGTTTTGTTTTGAATGATTGTGAACATTTAGGTAGACACATGATTGAGTAGCAATGGGGTATTTGCATTTAGACATGAATTCAACGGATGCATTTCGGCAGTGACGGCTGATACTTTTTCAAGATGATCAATGCACGGACAAGATGATGTTAGGTCATCACAAACAACTGAACTACTGCGCGATTTTCGAAGACCACAGTCGGATATCACTTCCATTAGAGCATCATCACTATACCTGCAATGATATATGAAATAATGATTTTGATTGAAAATCATTCAACGATTTATTCTTATTGGCAATAGTTATTTGAAAAGTTTTAACGAGTAATTAATATTAAACTAGCAATCTGAATCTGAATCTGAACTCGCAAATCAGTGGCTAATCTTCAATTCAAATTTTTGACCAAATGTCCCTCATTAAAGTCATTTTACAATAATTCAGTTTCTTTAACAATTTATACAAAATACCTGTGATAGCGATAGTTCTCGAGCTGTGAGCCAGTGGCGAATCGGAGTTTCTTTGGCGATTCCAAGCTTGATGATCGTGTTAGTGAGGTGCGTGGTATAGTGTTATCACGGTTTTTCAATGAACTCTTTGGTCCCACAATAACATTGATATTTTTCATTCCTTGCTGCAGATGCGCTTTGACCAGAGCTCTTGAGCCACGGCGCTCAGTTCGTGCCTTGGTGCGTGTATCGTGAGCATGTAAATCTTCACCTAGCAACCAATACGTCACTTGTTTTCCTTTGCCTTTTATTTGAATTTCGCCACGTTCCTGGAATTTTCGATGGATTTCGTTTTTTTTGAAAAAATTGATTAAATTTGCTTGAATCTTTGGCAGCTGTTAGTATTATGAATGAAATTTTTTTTATGGAAGAAAATTCTTAAAGTGTTTACCTCTGAATGATAACCACCCAGTTTATCCAGTAGTTGTTTGCATGTGCTGCTACAGTGGATTCGCAATGGTTCACCAGATGATTCCATGCGTGAGGCTGTGTTCACAGTATCACCGAACAAGCAGTATCTGGGCATTTTCAGGCCAACCACACCCGAACAGACAGGTCCTGAATGGATGCCAATACGAAGCAGAAGTCGATCATCGGGCCGATGTCTAATTTTAAATTCGGAAACGGCACTCAACAAATGCAGTGACATCGATGCTATTTCCGCCGCATGGATGATACCATTGCGAATGGGTAAGCCAGAAACCTGTCGACAAAAATGGAGTTGTAAATTGAACTTGCATTCTGAATTCAATTTTAAGAAAAATGATTTGATAATTAAGACAATGGCACTTTTGGTGACAGCTTAAAAATCGAAATAATTATTTGATCAATATTCTAAGAACTTACCACCATATAAGCATCGCCAATCGTCTCCACTTTGTAAACATCATAATTTCCAATGCTAAACAATAAATGAAAATTGAATTTGAATTCACCGACTATGTCGATTCAGAGTCGATTAAACTTACATTGAATCGAAACATGTGTACAAATCATTTAGAAAATCAACGACTTGTAACGGCGTACTTTCCACACACATCGCTGTGAAACCCACAATATCACTGAAGTAAATGGTTACCTGGAGAGCGAGACAGGTTTTATTCAAAATTTGGGAAAATTCTTATTCATTTTTTTTTTCTTTCGAAGATTTGAATAAGAAATGAAGTAGACCAAAAAAAGACGTAAGTTAATCTCTTTCCCACCATGTCATATGTTTCGGCTTCGACTTTGTTTCCCTTTTTCAGTTGCTCGGCAACTGGCCGTGGCAGCATTTCTAGTAGCAAAGCTTCGGTTTTCTTTTTCTCTTCCTGCAGTTGATCCGTGCGCTCATCCACCAATTGTTCCAAATTGTTGGCGTACTTTTCCATCATCGCCATCATATTATCAAAGATATTTGGGCGCATTCCTTTGCGAAGGGGTCGCAGTTTGGTACGAATTGCCTTGAAATCCGGTCGATCTTCTGGTTTCTCGGCCCAGCAATCCTTCAAACACTCACGTACACAGTCAAATGATGAATCAAGCGGTTGTAGTGGAGGTCTAAACATCGATCGAATGAAATTGATTTCAAATGAATGACCTTTAGAATGTGGGACCAAGGTACGTTGTTTCAATTGATACACGGAAGTGATCTTACCGAAACGGTTCATTGAAATCATTTGGTTGCAGCACTTTTCTTAAACAATCCATAACACTAATACCAGTATCTCCGAATGGGCCGTGTCGCGTGTGAATTTCATACAAAATTATACCAAATGAATATATATCACCTTTTGGAGTACCTGAAACACCATAACAAACAAATTCAATATTGTTTATCGCTATTTTACATTGACTGGACTGGATCAATTTTAGAAGTTGAAATTCTACCTGGAACCATATTAGCTGGACCAGATCGCAACAGTTCAGGCGCTCGATACAGTAACTCTGCGGATAATTGCAACATTTGAAATCGATTTTTTTCACTTTGTAAATTTACTTTTCCACAAACATAGTTTGTTACGAAAATTATTTTTGTTTTGCTTTTCGTGTAATTTATCTCGGTTTTGTTGGGAATTTGATAGAAATATAAACATATTCAAGAAAATAAGACATTTTGAACTAATTTGAATTGATTTTCACAAATTAATTAGATCTTTTGATACAAAATTAACTCAGAATTAACTAATTTGAAACATTAAAAGGCATCTAATTGAATTTTGAATAGTTAAATAGCGGCTATTCACTATAAAAAAAAAACAAAGATAATAATAAAAAATAATTTGTTAAGGTCATTGTTCGCTTTGAGATACATCATTCTTGACCTTGGACTGGCAAAAGTCTGTTTAGTTTTCTTTTTCTGACTCCAATGTAATTTGATTGATGTGATTCGCATCATCGTGGGCGTTCAATTAAAAGCAAATGTTTTCACTTACTTTGACATTTAGCAGCCATTGTTTGTAGATTTGGTGGATCTTCGGCGCCTTTTTTGAATGCCTGCAGTCCAAAATCACTGAGCTTAACTACCCACCGTGAATCGATGAGGCAATTCGACGTACACAGTAAGCCATGATACTTCAATGGTGACTCGTGCAAATAAATCATTCCCCGTATAATATCGGCTATCAACGATGCGATGAACATATTGTCCAATTTTACATCTTCGTTTTCGAGAACATCCTATTGGATCCAATTCAAAGCAGATACAGGTTGAAATAAAATATTCAGAGTGACAAAGTTTGAAAGTAGCAACGCGATTGCCTTGAAAATTAAAACTCCCAATTCCTTTTAACAAAGTGTAAAAAAAAATGTACAAACCTTTAGGCTTCCACGTGTACAATACTCGGTGAGGATGCAAATATTCGGTGGATCAGTGCAAGCGCCGATGAATGCGCAGATATTATCATGTCGCAAATCGCGAATCTAATAAACAAAATGTGATCAGTTAACCAACTGCCCAAATACCACAAAACAAACAGAAGTTCTGTATCTTCCAATTGCGAATGGCTTACCAATTTGAGTTCCTTTTTCATTTCGCGTGTGATGTCGATGCTCTTCTTGCGTACGGTTTTAATGGCGTACAATTGGCCTTTGTACAGGCCGATCGGTGTAAAAATGGTTGAATAACGGAAATCTGCATCCGGATTCGAGCTTAAACTAACTTGACTAGTACGAATAAGTGGATGAGTTGCCTAAACCAGACGAACAAACCATCGAAACAGAAAAAATAAAACGGAAAGACACAAGAGAAACGGCATAAAGATTATGTGTGGTAGAAATTCGGAAAATGTTTTGCATTTTGCATACATGAATCGCAAGCACATACAAATAGACAGAGCGAGAACAGAGGGGGAGAGAAAGAGAGAGAGCAAAAGATCGAGATAAAAATGAGCATATCGAAGTGACGAAATAGAAGAAAAATAGTGGAAAAGAAAAGAAAGCAAAACAATCAGAAGTGGTAAGGGAAAATGTTAACAAATCGACAGAAACCATTTGAAATGCGTCAAAACCATTTTCCCAGCAATTTAAATAAAATGCATAAAAAAGCGGTTCGGAGCAAAAGGAGAGACATAGAGATGGGAACGCATTGAACCTTATTCGAACTTTTCATCTCAAAAGTCAAGCGTTTTGCTATTCTCTCGCTCAATTCTTATTGTTGTCAGTGTCTCGATTTTGTTTCTTCTAGATGTGATGTGTTTTCGTCGATTATTCGTCTTTTCTCTCTCTCTCTTTCTCTCTCTCTCTTTCTCT